TTTAATAAAGTTATTGCAGAGAGCCATAGAATGTCAGTCCTTTTCATTTTTCTTGTAGCTCTTCTTTTGAGACTGTATAAAGCAGAGGGTAAGTGACAGGCCTTGATATTAGGATGTTCTGTTGCTACAGAGTTAGTCTCTTGATTTGTCACATTTCTTGCTTTTTAAAGTAACTTGTTTCAATGTGAAATCATTTCTTCTCTTAATACTGTGTAAATTACTCTTAATTGGCTTAAAATAATTAGCTAGAGTGTATGGATTTAAATAATTTTTTATTTTTTTGTAAACATGTCAATCATACTGAAGTTACTGAAATGCCACTGTTCTGATTGGCATGCGTACTAAGAGTTTTGTCTGCTCTTACTCCTTACCTTTAAAATAATTCCTTTTTTTTATTTCCTATTTGAATTCTTAGAAGAAATACACCAACTTTAAATCTTAAAGTATCAATGTGTTTACAACCATTGCATTTCTTTTTCTTTATATAAATATAGAGAGGAAGACAGAGAGAACAAAAGAGAAGATGCATTTGGAACATGAGCTCAATTCCAAAATGCAGTTTCCATTTTACCGCTTTGGTCAAGCCCTGTAGATCTCATTGTTCTTGATTTTTCTCTTTTTAAAGGATGAATATTTTAAAAATGTGATATAGTAAGCCTAAGCAATGAGGTAATAATATAATTAGCTTAGCCTATTCAATGGTGTGGCTGCATGGCTCTGGATATACTTTTCTCTCTTAAATGGGAGAAGTACTTACAATTTAGCCACCAAATTGCAGAGCAGGTGAGGGTTGGTTGAAGATCACTTACCAGAATTTATTCTAATTGCATGTTTAATCTTTAAAAGGCAATGGTAGACTAAATATTTGGGCTTTTTGATCGATAAGCATAAGGAAAATGCCTCACAAACATAGCCCTTCTCACACTAATGGAGGAGATACTACCAAAATACACTGTAAGTACAGAGTAAATTAATCTTATCAACCTTTCTGAGGTTAAATTTAAAACATTTCTTTTGTAGCCTGTTTTGAGTATGTTGTGATTAGATCTCACTACCTTTGTTATAAGGAATAGCATTTGGTTTTTTTATTCTAACATCACTCAAATGTAGATTGCTTCTTGTTAGCAGTTTCTTTCATTCTTTTCTACTTTTTGGGCTTGTGTTTAAAACCACAAAAATAAGAAGTGGTTTCTAGGGTGTGAGGTTTTTCTGGACCACTAATGCCAAACCCCTGTGTTGTCTGATGCCAACCATGCTTTTTAAAACCAATAGACTTCTTGATGGTGATGGTGACAAGTATGTTTATGCCTAAAGTTTTCTACTGCTGGCCTTCATGCCTATTACAGGTCTTCTGATTCTGTGTTGGAATTTTATCCTTGGTGCCCCTTAATTTTCTTCCTGCACTTGGCTTGTATCATATCTACAGTTACTGACTTCTGTCCCTGTTTAGGAGTGAGCACCTTTGCATGGGAGAAGTTAAAATATTTTCATTATTCTAAACAGAAGTAGTGTTTGAAATTTTCAAAGGAGCATAAAAGTTGATCTTGTATCACAGTAATTAATTAGATTCTAACATGAATTGTTGGGGTTTAGGGTGCAAATATGTAGACACAAGGATGCGAGTATGCCCTAAGGGCATCGATCTGCCTAGACTTTCAATAGATCTTGGTTCTCAGCCTAACTGGCAAATTGCTACTGAAAGAGTCAAAGAAAATTTAAAGCAGCAAATATTCTAATTGTCTTTAAAACCGAGGAAGGTGCAATTCTGACGGGAGGCAGTCATATAAACCCATGCATGTAACTTGCAGTGTCCATCTGTGGATTGTCTTTGTCTTGACTGAAAATGTGTCAACTCTGAGTGTGTGTTAATGTTAAAATTCCTTGTCTCGAGAAAGGAAGGGATCTCAAAGTCGTTTACAGACACTGTGGAACTATGTTTTCTAAGTTAATGTGCCCTTTTGCTCTGGCATTCAGTCAGCACGGTGGAACTGCTAACATGAAGGCACATCCTAGTGAAAAGCAGGTAAAAGCTGTGTGTGTCCTGGGCTAGGCAGGAAAAGTATGTGCCGGAATAGGCACCACTCTTCTCCCCAATGTTACAGACTGTTAACAAATACAGGAAATGTACTTGGCTAAAAGCAGCGTGGTGTGGAGACCTACCATATTGTCGTGGTATGTTTTGCTTCATTTCTTGTCTCTCAAAGCATTTAACTCAATTTTGGGCTGATTTTAGATTGTAGTTTTGAAGTCTGGTTTTTAGTATATTTCACGTAGAAGATGCTTGACAAATCTGTATTGTGTTTGTGTTGACTTGTGCAGTGGATCAATGTTAAATGCTTTATGAAGCAAAAACTAATTCTGTATTTTAACTGCTTTTTTTTCTTGTACAATCTTACTGCTTCTTCCATGATACAGTAGAACTTCAGTCACAAATTTTAGTCCCTTGTAGATGCTTATGAAAATGTAATAGGCAACTAATAACAACCTGTCATGAAGTTTTTAAAGACTTGTGAAAGTTGCATGTTTTTTCATGAAGTATTTTTTTATTGTTCTTGTAACACATCAAAAGACATAAACTTCATATGGAAAAAAATGCCAGTTCCTACAATTTCATAAAGGCATTGTGATTTGAAGTTCTACTACATAGTATATGTTTCATCTGCACTGGGAAGATAAAGTTTCAAGCTGACAAGTTCTTGCTCATAACTCTTTTTTGACAATTTAGCAGGGATCATTTCAGGTTTTTGGCAAGTCTGTTTTGNGGGGGGGGATTGTTTGGTTGGAGGGGCGTGGTTTTTTGTTTTATTTTGTTTTTTTGTATGTGTGGGTGGGTTTTTTGGTTTGGTTTGAGTTTTTGAGTGTTTTGGGGGGTTTTGTTTATTTGTTTTTGTTGTTTGTTTTTTTTTTTTAAAATCTTGTTTTGAGGACATGTCTGTCACTTTGAAATACAGTCTTTGAGAGAGAACTCCATTCATGGGAAATATGCACTTAAGGCAGAGGACTTAAAGCCGGGATTCCAGTGATCTGCTGTTGGCTCTCCAAAATATTTGACATGTGGTATTAGTGAATGATATGTATTTTGGCTTTCAAAGGTGCCAAATGTATCAGGCTTTCAATGAGTTTAGGGGATTTCTTAAAATTTGGGCTACTGACTTTCTGTACTTCATTATTGTATGAAGTTGGTGTATTATACATTAGCTGTTGTGGCCTGCCCGTGTGAAATATATAAATCAACATTATCTTTCAAACAGTCATTTCCATGCTAGATATTTACACAAGATGAATTTTCTTTAGTATATACTGACTGGTCACTCTGTGGTCAAGCTCTGCTTTAGCATGTGGGCTTTTTACAAACAGTTACTATTTCTTGTGTGACTGGTGATTATTTCTTTTTAGTCAACTGGTGACATAACTTTCAACCTGTACATACAGTTTTTGTTATTTGGAAATGCTAGTTCTTTTTAAATGAGCTTTTATATAAAAGTATTTTAGAAGGTGAACTTGTGCTAATGAAAGATGGTGTCTGTGCTAGTGAAAGATGTGGTGGAGACTAAAGTTTCTGAAATACACTGATAATTTTGTAAAACAGAAGAGACGTGAGTGCTGTCATGTAATACGAAGAGTAAAATAAATGAGTAGGTCTCTTGGTAAAGAGATTGGAGTTCTGCAGGAGTTCTGCAGTTCTATAGCAAGATCTCTTGCATCAGCACTGGTTTCAGATATTCTGAAACTAAATTTAAAGAAAGTATTTGTATAAAAATGCTGTCTTTTTTGAATTTGTACAGAGCTGCAATTCAGAAAATCAGTGTTTTAAATATATTTATAAATAAAGACAACAGAGTAAGGAAGGCAATTTCAACATCAAATTTATAGTGCAGTGCTGTAGAGCTTTTACTTACAGAAAGCTTACACAATATGTAATATTTCTTTTTTGAGCCTGTCTTGGGTAAATGTTATGTAGCTTGCACATAACATCACACCTTAAGATAATACAACTATATGACGTAACAGCAATGATTTAACACAAAATGTGCTTTTGATAAAATGATTTTGTTCTGTAACTAAACTTCAAATACTGAAATGGCTGTCCTGTATTTTGTGTTGAGGTGGCAGAATTCAGTTTTTCAGCTCAGCAAAAAGCCAACCCAGTTCTTCACCAGTTCAAAGACAAATGGTATTAATATAAAATAAAATATTATCAACTGCTTTTATGTGCAATAAAAAACCCACTACTGATCTAGAGATGAGAAAAAGATAAAGCTGGAAGACCATTCAAAAGAATCCATTTTTTTATAAGAAAGTTCAGGTCTGCTAAAATTATTAGTATGAATGATGCCTCTGAGGGTCTTGAATCTTTGTAAAAGGTGTTTAGGCAGCAGAAGTGGAAGAAGCACAGACAAAGAAACTTGAGTTGCAGAAGCTACACCAAAAGACAGCTAGAGTCAAGAACAGAACACTGATCCCCCAGTTCCTGTCTGGCCACACAGGGCACCTTAATGTGTTTGTGCTGTTTCCCTTCTGAAAAGGAGCTCAAAATTTTACATTACTTTCACTGACAGTTACAAGATCTACTTCTTTTTTATCTCCCTATTTTAAGGTGTCAAGAGGCAGCTAAAATGGATTTTTTTCCCCTAAAGTTTATACTTTGAAATCCAATGTCATTGAAAATTAAAAACTATTGTAGTAGTGAGACCAACTTCAGTTTTGGTTTTTTCTCTTTTTGAGGTGGTTGCTTCTTACTTTTTTCCTTGCTTTCCCTTGAACTATCTACTGATCATGAAAATGTTTCTCTTTTCAATAAACTGGCAGGGAATGTTGTAGTAATCAGTAGTGGGGTTCCCAGATGAATATAGCTATCTGTCTATCTCACAGAAAGGCAATGAGGCTATGCAGGGGAAAAAAAAAAAGAGAGCATGTATTTTAACAATTTTATCAAATAATATATTATGGTGTTACTACATCCAAGTTGGAATACTGTCAAATTCTATGTTTATATACAGGAACTTGACAAGAGGAGTTGGTAGATTTAGAGAGTTACTAAGAGCTGTTGAAACAAGAACTACACAAAACCTGCGAATGGTAAGTTACAGTAAACCATATTCCTATTGCAGCATCTGAATTTTGGTAGGCAGGTAAAGCATAATAAATATAGTGAATGAGTTAGAGATGAATAGACAGATACATACAATATTGATAAGGACCTGTTATCCACCAGTTTGTAAGGTTACAGTTCCTGGCTTAAGTGAATGCAGCCCCAGTCAGCACACAAACTATAACTGTCTGTACTGGGTTGACCTTCTCTGGCTGCCAGATGCCCACCCAGCTGCCCTTGGACTCTCCTTCCTTAACATGATGGGGAAGAAATAAGCTTGTAGGTTGAGGCAGAGCCGTTTGCTTACTAATTACTGTCACAGGCAAAACAGACTCTTCTTGGGGGGCATTAACTTCATTTAATTGTCAATTAAGAGAGAATGGGATGGTGAGAAACAAAGACAAAAACTAAAACGCCTTCCTCCCACCCCGTTTTTCCCAGGTTCAACTTCAGTCCTTGACTCCTGACTCTTCTCCTTCCTCTCCCTGCCCTCCCATTCCTTGAGTGGTGCATGGGGGGTGGAGGGTTGTGGTGAGTTCCTCGCTGCTGCTCCTTAGTCCTCACACTTTTCCCATGCTCCAGCATGGGGTCCCTCCATTGGGCTGCAGTTCCTTCAAGGAATATCACTCTGCTCCACCATGGTCCTCTTAGCAGGCTGCAGTGTGGACTGTCTGCTCCACTGTGGTCTCTCCCCCGCAAACAACTGCTCCAGGCCTGGCGAGGCAGTAGAGGTTATTGAGAACAAAATGTCTGAAAATATACCTGCATGTGCTCTGCTCATAGGAGCAGCAGTTGGTGTTGTTGATGCTTCAGAAGTATCTGGATTTAACTGATATAATTGAAAAGTTGTTTGGTTTTGCCATTATTTTCTTTGTGTTTAGAGAATTGAACTGGGAACTTTCACTTCTTAAATAGCAGTATACCTGTTTTTTGGATGTTGTAAAATAACAGAAAATATATTCTACGTAACTAGTCTTCACTAGAAAGAAATCTGAGCATTTTTTAAGAGTTTGTATTCAGCATTTCTAAAGAAAATATTTATCCTTCGCTTTTACAGACAATAGCGAGACAACTCGCGGAAATTTTGTTACGAGGTATGTGTGAACAGAGTTACTGGAATCCACTGGAAGATCCTCCTCACCAATCACCCCTAGATGATCCACTTCGAAAAGGTTCAAATACTAAGAATTATGCACTCAGTAGAAGACCACGTGTATACACTGGAGAAAAGTATGGCTGAGTTTATACCTCTTTTGTTTCTATAATTGCAGTTGTAACTCAGTGCACCGGTTAATTTAGTTTATCTTTTTCAATACGTAGAAAGAATTTAGCAATATGAATGGGAATGTTTCCCATGCTGTCTGTGTATATATGTAAATACATATATATTCCCTGAAGAGAACTAGGGAAGGAAAATGTTTCTCTAAGCAGAAGTTTGTGCTGTATACATGAGACTGTTCGTTCTCAGTTGTAAAAATTTTTTATTCTTCTATCATGATGTATATGGTAAAGTCATTATTTTTATTATACCTGGGCTATAAAAGAAAACATTAATTGGATGGCAAATCGGAGACTGCACAATTTAAAAGTTGTGTGATGCTTGTAGACCCCTATTCTAGGAAAGATTTAGAAATTCAAAGAGCCAAATTGGTCCGTGAAGCATTTTGAGAAAACAAAATATATCTAGAAATTTATCTAGCAGTTTCAAAGGTAGTTTATTTCCCAAGGCAGCTACCTTTTAATCATCTTAGATTAGTTTTGGCACTTCTTTGTGATGCCACCTTTTTGTTGAGTTTTAATCTTTCAATGATTCAATTAAGTGATGCGTTATTTATGGTTTATTTTTGTGTGATATATCTGATGTTGTATTCTAGAGTAGCTTTGTGTATTTCTTCCTTCTTGAAAATGTAACCTTTTTTTTCAAAACCTATCACCATTAGGGTTAGTATTAAATGTAGATAGCCATTTCCTTGAATTTTAAATTTTTCTTAAAAGTTAGTGGCTCTGATCCCCAGACACCCCTTCCAACCTCAGCTCCTCTGAGATTTTGTGAAATCATTGTGATCCAGGGATGTCTTTTGAGGACACTATTCTCTGTTCCATAGGACATTTTTGACTGTTTTTCTTCAAAGAATTTATTATTGTTACTGGTTTTATTTATATTGTTGTCCAGCTGGATTAAAAGCCAGGCATTGTGTATTTTATAATTTCAATTTTGTCTGACTACGTCTAGGATGTGAAGTCATTAAAAGCAGTCTATTGAGGTTTAGGAAAAGATGCAGGCATGGAGTCGAACAATCAATCTGCTGAAACAACTACTGTGTTTCCCTGCGAGTACATATTTAACAAACTACACATACAGACAACCTTTTTGGTAAAAAGGAAATACCTATTTTTATGAATACACCTTGATCACTGCACACAGAAAGCATGCATTTATTGCCCAAACAGGAGGAAATCTCTTTTATGCAGGATCATGAATTCTCTTTTTCAAACGACTTGGTATCATGCAGCAAATCCTAAAGAACACTCTGTTCCTCTCTTACAATATATATGTCTTGTTAGTTAATATGAAAGTTTTTTTCCATAAAGTGACCTTGTTATGTGCAGAAGAGTTTGCTTCTGTGGCAGATTGATTAGAGAAGTAGTCATACCTTAAATAATGGAAAGATGTTTTTAGTGTTGGCAGGATCTTTATGTCGTAACAGAATTGCCTGCAGTATGACACTATTTTGAGTTGGTTAACTGTATTTATTGCAGATTTCCATTAATGGATACTTAACACAGCAACAAGCCCACATAATTATGTTGCTTTTATTACTATCAGTAGAATGGCCTTTATCTTCAAAGACTTCAGGCAATTCTCCTTTCTTGATCCAGAATACTTACAGCAGGTTTCTCAGGCTCCGTCTTTCAAACTTATCATCTCCATTCTCAACTCATCCTTTGTAGCATCATGCCTCCTGGCAAAAGTGGGGCTTTGTTCAGTTTAATTTTCTCATTCGTGGGACATGCAGTCAAGGAGTTCTGCAATTTCAACAGAGCATGTAATTAAGTCCTTTTCTTTTGTCACATCAGACTGGCTAACACCGTATCATATCAAACACGTCTAGCCAACTATCTCATCTCCAGTAGTGATTGAAAGTAAGTACTAAAGACAATGAATAGCAAGATAGATATCTAGGAAGCTTCTTCCTAGGTATTCTTCTGACCATCGGCTCTGAGTCCACAATGCACTTTTTTTTCTAAATATGTTGCCTGGTACATTAAATAACTGCCTTGTGTTCTTTTGAGGATGGTGAACGTGATTTGACTAATAGCATTTATGGTTTTGTAGATCTCTGTGTTAACTGCCTCTTCAGTTTTGTTTAACCAGTTCTTCAACTGAGGATAAATTTCATGCTTTGCCTTTGGTTGATAGGCATTTCATGCTTCTGATTCCTCTTTTGTTCTGCCCCGTTACATTGAAATTACTTTACTCATCTGTCAGGAGACACAAAAAGTGTCCAAGTTCACTCAACTGAACTTAGATAGGTCAAAGAAATTTCTCGGTAATTTCTCACTGTTTGACACAAACAACAACTTATTTTCAAAAATATGTTTTAAAATTGTAGGTGAAAATAAAGTTTGCTTTTATTTTGATAAGTCACTTTTTAGGACTTCTCTTGGGGGCACCTTCCCTTTTTTTCTGATAAAGTAATTTCTCCAGCAGCTCTTTCCAATCATTATTCTGCTTTCTGGGAGCCATTGTCAGTCAGTCAGGTAGAATCTTCTTCCAGGTTGTTAAATTCTGCAGAGAAGACTGGATAGTTAAATGAGGAGCTCTCTGATGCCACCTCATCACTCCTCATTTCTTATCCTAGGTGGTTCTTATTCATGAGTAACTGTGTTTTGAAATGTCTTTGTTATGTAAAAATAAAAACCTCTTCTAAGATTTAGAATATTCTTCAAAATCTGGCAAGCAATTGCATTAATTAAAAAATAAAAATACAACAAAACAACTGCCCTGGTGTCTTAGATGTTGTATATTACCACAATACATTCACAATGTTGCTTTCAAACTGTCTGGAGTTCAGATGTCTTTTAGTTTCCGTTTCCTTTCAGGCATTTAATAACTGCTTATATTTCTAGTGCTTAAAAAAAAATAAAGAAATCAAAGGATGTTTAATGTTGGACAAATTTTGTTTCCCTTCCGTAATGTATTGTAGTTTAAACACCCTTGGGACTACAGGAATTGCTTATTAACAACAACAAATTATTTTCTACATTTAAACAGTTAATTGTGGAACTAATGGTCTGGATTAACAAGAAATAGTACTTGTGCTAATTCAGAAATAGTTTAGAGGAAGAAATCTGAAGAGATGAAACACAGTCACTGATTTGGGTGGGGTTTTTTCTATATGTGTGAGAAAGGATGGATGAATTCCTACCAGACGTATCCAATGCACATTACTGTTGTCTGTCCACCAGCTTAGAAGAGCATTCAGAAAGCATCCAGTGTTGAGAGAAAGCAGTGAAGTTTGCAAACTAGTCCTATGCAAACCTTCAGTATTAAGTCATAAGGAAGCGTACTTCATTAAAAACAAATAATTAAACTTCTTGGAAGTAACAGTGGTTATGCCAAGTGGGTGAAGATTGTCATGGCTCTATTGAAAAATATTCATAGCTGTCGAATGCATCAGGAAGAAAAATCTCAAGCATATCTGATGAAAGACCAATAGAAATATTTCTCCACATATTGTCTAAAATACAAAAGTTATCCTGTTCTTTTATGAGAGTTTTCTCTTGCTAACCTCTGAATCAGTGATGTAGATTCAGATCAGATAAATTAGGTACCAGAGGCTAATTAAAGGATGGGTTTATTTTTTACAGTTGTCAAATTATGTTCAATTTTGGGATATTTGAATGTGTTCAACTCTGACAGCTGTGGTAGTTTTATTCTTTTACTGTGTTTGGCTAACTTTTCTGAAATGCAAATTTAGAACATTGCAAAGAAATGCATTTTAACAGATTGTTTTTTCTATGCAAGTTATTTTCTCTTTACTTTTCTGGAAGCTTTCCAGTTTTTACAGTGCTTTTAATATATGTGTATGAGCTACTCCTGAAAGTAATGTGTTCTGATCAAATAATTAAATTCTTGTTTTGAACAGCATCTTCTGTCCTCAAGAAAATACAGAGGAAGCCTTACTGTTGCTGCTTATTAGTGAATCTATGGTAGGTAAAATAGAGAGACTGTGTGTGTTTTCCTTGGGATTTTTTTAAATGAAAATAGAACTCTTTTTTTTTTGTTTGTTTTTTGCCATGCCTTACTTTGCCTTGTCTTTCATATTCTGTTAGGAAAGCAGGTAGTTACTTCTGAAACTCAGGCTTCTGTTCCTCTGAGCCAGCAAGATGAGGTCTGCAAGTGTTATGGAGTTTTTCTCCTTTGGAGTGGCTGTACTTAGCCTCCTTCTAAACATGGGCAAGTGAACAAGCCAGGTCTTTCATTTGGCACTACTGTTACACCAGCTGGTTGCTATTCAGACAGAATCAAAATCTAAGTTATTTTTGTTGTTAAAAGCAAATCAAAGACTACTAGATGAGCATAATAAACGTTGTCAAAAAGTACTTTCTATTGTGCATAAAACTTCGGTCACTTAAATTTGTAAATGATTTTTAATGATAATGACATTCAGCCTTTGCTACTGGATTTTTTTTTAAGAAGTCCTCATAAGTGATTCCTTTCAATGGCCTGCTTGTGACCTTAATCAATCTTCCATACTTTCCTCTAGAATGATTTTGCTAGTCATCAATCAACTGCCACGTACTGACATTCTCATACCATGTCAGTTTTTTATGTTCTCAGATAAAATTAAATGAAGGCTGAAGCTGAAGCTTTTGCTGTTTTTTAACTGGAGGTGTGAAACCTCTACAGTCTCAGGCATCATGCAGTCTGTCTCACTGCACATCAATGAGATGTAGTCTTTTAAGTTCTATAGGTGATTCAAATGCCTACGTGCTTTGGCATAATTTCTGATTTGCTACAGTTAAATAGATCAGAGCATTTTAGTGAGCATTGTCCTAGTTGAACTATTTTGACGTGGCACACATTTACACTGTGTGCTAACTACTTTCCTCATTCCTAGTGATGTGCCTTGCAATATTCATGACAGAATCTAGAAATTCTGTCTAGATTTTGATTCTCAGAGTACAGAAAAATAGACTGAGCAAACATTTCCACATATCATATGTTGATTTTACTGCAGTATATACTTAGCACTGAGAGGTACCTCTGTAATGTGCCTGAGCAGCTTGTGGAGATGTACAGAATTCTGATGTGAACCACGGTCATGGTGTGAAGTCGAAGCAGTCCTGGCTCTGCAAGATCTGACCGCTTATTACTATGTTCGAATGTGTAGTTCCTTACATATCATCATTAAGAAGCAAAAAAACAAATTAAAAGTACTGCCTTGTTAAGTTTCATTTCAGATTACTTACAGGTTTTCCTTTTTGAATCAGATCTGCCTGATTATATCAAGTGCTGTCACTGTAGAGCATAGCCCTTAGCAAGCTTTCAAAATTATTTTTTTTTTAATTATTGCAGATTATCTCAGGTAAAAGAGTTTGTTTCAGGGGAGTATAAAATCTTTGACATGATTGACTTACTTTGGCTAAGTCATTTGTTCAAATTAGTTTTGGAGGGGGGAAAGGGGAAGATTGAGCATAAAAATATTCATCATTACAAACTTACCTTTCTGAGAGTTGAGACCTGTTACTTCAGCTTCCATGCATGCTAACTTTCTAGCTGTAGTAGCTGTGAAGTAGTATGTGATTTATGATTTTGAAACCACTACTTGGGAAAGAACTAAGAACACTTACAGAAGATTGAGCAATCGCTGGTGTTTTGAGATGCTCTTGTGTTATTAAACTAGTATGATCCCTTCCTTTCATTGTCTGTGAATTAGTGAAGAAAAAGCCCCATTCAAGGCCAGGTTAGATGGGGCTCTGAGCAACCTGGTCTGGTGGAAAGTGTCCTTGCCCATGGCAGGATGATCTTTTAGGTCCCTTCCAACCCAAACCATTCTGTGATTCTGTGATCTGAAGGACTGATACCTTCATGTTACAGTGCATGTATGTATTGCATGTCAGCTGAGTTGTGGTAACAGAATCACAGAATGATTAAGGTTGGAAGGGTCTTCTGGAAGTCATTTTATTTGAACCCCTTGCTCAAGCCAGCCCCCCTGGAGCAGGCTGCATCTCTGTCCAGACATCTTTTGAATATCTCCAAGGAGAGAGACTCTACAACCTCCCTGGGCAGCCTGTGCCAGTGCTCATTCACCCTCACAGTAAAAAAACTGGTTCCTGATGTTCAAAGGGAACCTCCAGTGTTTCACTGCCTCTGGTCCTGTCATTGGGCACCACTGGAAAGAGCCTGCCTCCCTCTTCCTTGTATCCTTCCTTCAGGTATTTCTACACATTGATAAGGTTCCCCTTCTGAGCATTGTCTTCTCCAGGCTGAAGAGTCACAGCTCTTTCAGCCTTTCCTCACAGAAGGGATGCTCCAGTCACTTATTCATCCCATTGGGCATTCGTTGGACTGTCTCCAGTAGCTCCATGTCTCTTGTACTGGGCAGTCCAGAGCTGGACCCAGTACTGCAGGTGTGGCCTCACCAGTGCTAAACAGAGGGGAGGCTCTCCCTTGACCTGCTGACAACGCTCCTTAGTGCAGCCTGGGCTATCAATAGCCTTCTTTCCAGCTGGGGCACATTGCTGGCTCCTACTCAACTTGGTGTTCACCAAGGACCCCCAGATGCTTTCCTGTCATGCTGCTTTTGAGCTGGGGAGCCCCCAGCATATTCTGGTGCCTGGGGTTGTTCCTTCCCTGCTGCAGGACTTTGCACTTCCAAGTCTTTGTTGAAGCCTTCGATGAGGTTCCTATCAGGTTCCTCCAGCCTGTTGAGGTCCCTCTGGATGGCAGCACAGCCCTTTGGCGTATCAGTTCCTCCTCCTAGTTCTGTATTATCTGCAAATGTGCTTGAGGCTACATCCAGATCAGGAACAGGATCAGGCCCAGCATAAGTCTCTGGGATACATCACTAGTTACTGGTCTCCAGCTAGACTTCGTGTCACTGATCACTCTGATGTGTAATTCTTAACCAGTGGTAAAATGGCTGAACATATCCTTTCTTCTGCTGTCGTTGAACTAAGCTGTACTGCTCAGATGTGTTACAGGCTTAAAGTGTGTGTGGTAACTGTGGCCAAGTGACTCATTGCAGTTTAACTAATTGTCCCTTAATTGTGTCTGAGACCGTGGCAGTTCTGAAATACTGATGACTGAAGTTTGTATGTACATTCTGTATTATAATTATGAAGAAAATGATTGTTCAAATATATAAGATATCTTTAATAATTACAAGACATCCTCTCCTATAATACTGCTTTGGGATTGGCAGCCATTTTTTCACAAGAAGTGCTAGTTCATAGCTTGTTCTGTACTTGCAAGGAATTGAGTCAAATAGCGATTAAATGTGGAGTTAAAAAGAAGTTCTTGAAGCTCATTAAACATTATGCAGCGTAGAAAGGAAAAGCAAAAGACTTCTTGATCAAAAGAAAGCAAAATGTCTGGTTTGGGGTGTGTGTGTGTGGGGGGTGTTTTCAAACCAAACTGTGGATTGATTATTCAGTTGATAATTCCTGAAATGTCTGTGCATTTTACTCTCCATGTATCTCTTTAAAAATTTTTCCAGTATTTAATTATTCTGATTTTAATGATATATTGAGGATGTTCAGACCTTAAAATGTTATCCTGTTAAAGCAGAAAAAAATTTATTATCCCTTATTGTGTGTCATTCCTTGCATTTGGAAAAGGGGGAAATAAGATGCATAATGTATTTAAGTAAATGTATTAAGGAGGCCATGCCCTGTGTAATTAAAAATAAAGAAAAGGTGCGATGAGGAGAGAGAAGGATCTTTAACTTCTGACTTCAAATTAGCAGATATACTAACAGTTGTACCAATGGGAATATTAAACACCAAAAAAACTAGAAAAAGGTAAAATAACAAGATAAGTTATTTTCAGAGGCTTGATGGTATAGTGGGAGAAGTACTGGATATTTCAGTATAGGTACTAGCTGTTGGGAGACCTGACTTTTACTCTTTGCTCTTTAACAAGATTTCTCTGTGAACATGGTCAATTCATTTAATCCATTTCTATCTCAGCTGTCTTCCTTCACAAAAGGCACAGTTTAATTAAGGAATCAGATTTACACTGTGCCTTTCACAAAACAGGATTGAAAGTACAAAGCCTTACTGCAAACATGGCCTGATTCCAAACCTGTTTTCAGAACCAGGGTCAGTTTTCATTCTCAGTAGTAAGCCCTGAAGGTGATTGTGGGTTATCCTGGACAGGTTATCTTCCACAAGTGAGAGGCTAGTGTCATAATGTTGTGAAGAGAAAAGAAATTTATTGCCTTATTTTACAAAAGCTGGAATACAGGATTTGAAGATTCTTCTAATATGTTTTACTAGGATACAAGAATAAAAATAAATTTTAGAAGATGAATATACATTATTTTAAAACCCCCACCTTATTTTGTTTCTGAGAACTCTTCAATAATTTAAATACATTACTTAATTTATGTAATTAGAATGAAGTAATTAAAAATAGATTCAGGTAAAAACATCAGTCTTTCCACTAATGTATAAAATTGGTGATTCTTTCTATCTATAAATGAGTAGCAGATACTGTCTCTCTGTATCACTTATATCAACTGGTGGCTGTCAGTTTGAATAGAGTGGTAATTACTTGAGTGAAAATATAACTTTAATTAGATTGGCTGACTTTGTTTCCTTATTTGTGGTATGTTTAAGGCTAACCGTGATGCTGTACTAAGCAGAATACCTGAACACAAAAACGATCGTATCATCAGTTTGCAAAGTGCATCTGTCGTCTACGATTTACTTACTATAGCCTTGGGAAGAAGAGGCCAGTATGAAATGCTCTCAGAGGTTTGTCAGTAATATTCAACTGTGTTGTCATTGCTGTTTTCTGTTAATCATGTTAATTGTGGTAGTAATGAAGGGATAAACAAATACGGACACTGTAATTCTAACTACTCTCTTAATACAGGAGGTAGTTTCAACCCCAGAATGCTTACTGTCTGAATTTACACAAGTGACTTGAGGTGGTCAAGCACAGAAGTTGTGTGGAGATGTGGTAAATGTTTAATGCTGTGGAAATTCACATGATTTTTAGGTGGGGATGCATGGATCTGCTTAAAAGGGTACACATTAAATGGAGACAGCAAGAATGAACAGCAAAAAATAAAAGCTGTTGTGGATATAAAAATAGAATTACCTAGAAAAAAGATTTGTGATGTTTTATGTCAGAAAAAACCTTTCTTTTACAACTCTTAGTATTTGGGGTGATCCATAGTCCTCATAGTTTATAAAATGGTTTTGAAGTTAATCAAAAGGAAATGTATTCTTTTTCAGGTATGTGGGAAATGTGTTCTCACTCTCGGATGTCTTATGTTTGATTATGTAACTCGCGTGTGTTTTGTTAGATTGTGGCAGCTTACTTCTTCAGGGAATGGTCAAGTACTGTTAACAGTTTTATACCTGAGAAACAACTACAGCTTTCTGGACAGAACAGATCTTTCTGCTGCTCAAACAGTGCTCACCCAGCAGCAGGGTACTGTTGCTGACCACAGTTAATTATTGGTATACAGAAAGAATACTTCAGCATATGTGCTAGGAAGGCGTACCCAGGGATTAATTTGCTGGGACATGGTTTCTCTCTACCATAATAGAGGACTTCTATTGAGATAAAAATGAAAAGAAAGTGCTCCAGTTCTTTTCTGATCTATGTTGATAGTCAGCCATTAATCTGTGTCTCCTGTGATGTTAAGCTCTCAATTTGAGTGTTCTTATTCTTGAAAGCACTTCATAGCTGCAAGTTGCAAAACAAGTCAGTTTTAATTAGTACAATGGAAGTTTGTTTCAGAAGACAGAGGAGTACTAAATCTCATACAGGACTGCAACCCTACAAAATAATCTAATTAGGAATATTTCCATTTACTTGCCACAAGAGACACTATCACCTTCCGGTGATTTTAGGTGGTAGCACCAAAGCTGCAAGAGTTGACGCTTCGTGTATTTCAGTCTAGAACTTCTTAAAGGATAGACATCAAAAAATATTGTAATAAAACCCAAACTTGATAACTCCGATTTCTTTTTTCTTCAAGCAGCTAGCAGCCATTCCGTTTTATATAGTAGCTTAGCAACTGGGCAAGGGTAGTGCAGCCCTGGGTTTCAATTCTGATTCTTTTATTTTGTCTGGTGTCAAGATGGCTTTATGTAGGGGTTTTTTTGCTATGGATTTTTTGTGTTTAATTTTAGAATGTGAAACAACCTTTGTATTTATGGGAACATCACAGGTTCCTGGGATTCCTCCACTGTCTCCTTTGGGAACATTTTGGGTAGTATTTATGTCACAATAGATGCCGCTTCTTGCTGACAGTTCTTTGTACCTTTCTTAAGAGAGAGGGTTTTGGCTTCATCAGGAGAGCTAGTGGTATCTCTGTTCTTAGCCATGTGTCTTGAAGTCCAGGACAATATCCTGAAGGGTAGGAAGAAAGTCTCATAGTCCCCTCACATGGAGAAAAGCACAGAGCTTGCCTCCCTCACTGCTTGTGATTGGTTTAGCCCCTGTAGCTAACATATGAGTACTGCCTGTTCCTTTTCCTTCTGTGTTTTGAGCACAGTTGAATGTTCTAAATAGTGGACTTAGATCTTTGATTTCAGTGCCTTTTAGGAGTTGCTTGTGCTGGTGGTGATCTTGGTTACAGACAAAAGCAGATCCACAAGTACATGGAAAATAAGACTCCATGTTTGACCAGCTGCTTAGTTGAGGGTTTTTAGCCATGGCTTAGTCTTTGACACCAGAAGTCTAGCTAAGGCTTCTTTTAAGGTCTTTCCTTGTTTTTTTTTAAATCTTTGTCTAGCATCTTTGTGGTAATATTCAATCAAAATTGTATGTAGGTTCTTTTAACATGTTCTCTTTAAAAAAGAAAAAATAATTCCATTATGTTGGAAAAATACTTTCAGTTCAGTATAATTAAAACATATTTGTTATATGTCCATTAAGTATCTTTTCTGAACATGAAAAAAATCATCTTATGAAAATCTGGTATAATAGACAATATTTATTTTAGCATACAGATATTCTAGATATACAGCTGCAGCAGGGTCTTACCAGGAAATGGTTAGAACATCTCATTTGTTGTTTTCTTGTCATCCAAAGCACAGCAGAAAACATAGACTTCAAGAAGCTCTTACATTTTAGTGAGTAGAGGATATCTGCCCTCAAATCCTGCAGCCCATAGTCTGTAACCTTTATAATCTAAAATATTGCAATAAACACAAATTCAGAAATGTAGAACATTCTGTTCGTTTATGTAATAAGGCATTTAATTTTTTAGTGCTTCATTCTCTGTGAGCTGATTATGGTTGCTCTAGAGGAGCTGTTGTAGCTTCAAATTAGAAAGCAGGAGGTTATTCTAACTGTAGAAATGGAATTCACCCACCAGTTCCAATATCTTAGTGTCATCTTCTGGTTTAGCTATAGCTGATTACTTATGGAAGTAGACAGCTGTTATATAAAAACATTAAATGATAAAAAATCTGTCCTATCCTTGTTAAAGTGTTCTAATGCTGAGTTATGTTCTTAATTGAAAAGGTCTCATTTTTTTGTCGAGTTTACATACAGTGGGCTTTCATTTTCTTAGGGTGGTTTCAGCTAGATGAAAGAAGTTTATACAGTCATAATTCTTTCCTAAACCAAAGTTCTCTGATTGTCATCAAGTTGTTTTTTAAGCTTTGAAGGATACAGCATGTTGAGTTTATAAATATCCTACCAGAAGAGATGCTTTCCAGACCAGAAATTTTCTTAGATTTTTGTCCTTTCATCTTTCAACTCTCTAACTTCAAGCATATTCTTTCCAGGAGACCATAGTGCTAAGCAACAAAATTCTGTAATGTGTTCAACGTTACCTGTTCAGGGAGTGATTTGTGGTTATTTACAAGGCAATATCAACAGCTGTGTTTTCCTCAGAAGAGGGATTGTGCTGAATATATTTTCAATTAGTTAAGTCAGTTGCTATTATCCTGAACGTTATCTTACAGTCTGCCTAGGTACTATTGCTTGATGTGGATTTCTTGATAGAGCCTTTAGCTCTTTGAAATTACTTGTTGTTACTTTGTTCAGAAGAATCCAGTTTATGAGGTGTTCATGTTGTTGTGTAGGTCACAAACATGTACATGTATCCCTTACCCCCGTACACATAACTGCCAATTCTGTCATCTTACAAAGAAAAGAAAAATCTTGTAACTTGTCACATTTCTTATTGAACAAAGCCAGGTAAATAGAACTTGAAGTCGACAAAAAGAATGGTAGCTAGATCATTAGTACATGAAAATCAAACCTTTTAGACTAATCTAGAGTTGTGTCCTGTGTCCCTATAAGTGCAAAATTATAAACCCCTAAACTATCGATTTCTTCAACCTCTTTGTCTTCTAGTTAGAATTGGTAATTAGTTTTTAATTAGGCAAGGCCAAGAAAACAAAATTTTTATTTTTCTAATTGTGAACAAATACTTCTGTATAATTAGTGCACAGACATACATGTAACAATGGGAGAAAAAAGTATGATTATGCAGTCTAAAAACTTTTAAGTATTAAGTTTCCATATGCCACTGTTTTGTGTGAATCTCTGGGATTATATGGCTGCTGTAGGTCAGAATTCTGGAATCAGTACTGAAATTACTTAAGTCATGTGTAGAACACTGGTATCAAAACAGGTAGAGTTGTATTTAAAAGTGTATTTGAAAAGAAAAGCCTGAATTAGTTCTCCTTGATTTAGAGACACTTGATTTAGTACCACAGCTATTAGAGGGTGAGAGAGAAGGGTTTAGCAACTTTTTTCTTTTGTCAAGTTTGTGAAAGGGAATGTCTAAAATAACAGGAGAAGATATCACACGTAACTTATGTATTTGTTTCTTTATGTGATCTTTTTGCTTTGTGTCGGATTCTGTTATAGTGTGGTAACACACTGCATACCTGGTTGTGCTTTCTGTAATGGTAAGGCTGAGTTTGAATGTGAGGAATAATTCATGGTTTTATATGTACATTGTAGCTGTCAGAGCAGAAATTGGACTCTGCAGTCTAGAAAATTAATTCCTAAATCAGTTTAATCCAGAAAAGTGTTTTTCCTTTCTACTCTCTGGAACTGGCCTGATTAGTAAAAATGGACATAGCAAAATGAAATAATTCTTATTGACAACAGCGGATATAAACCATCCAAAATTAGCATATAATGCTAATTTAATCTATTTAGTCTCAGTGTAGTAATAATGAATTTCCTTTTGGCATTCAGTTATTTAGTTTAAAATCTCAGCAGAGTATGGAGTGTGAAGTTAAACTTTTTAAAAACAGAAATAATACTGCAAGATGAACCTTTATACACCACCCCTCCTTTTAAATGTTACTTATAAGTACTCGTGGTGCCATTGCTTGTTAAGTATTCACAGTTTAGGAAGAGGCTATATACTCTCTTTCCTTTTCACTTAAGACTATCTCCTGCCTTTTACAGATGGTATCTTTAGTAAGCTATTATTTATCATTCTTTGTTTCAGACTACATAATACAGTACCAGCAGGAGTATTTAAACAAACATAATAAACAGGAAAACAATTTTCTGTTAAGTTTTTTTTTTACATATAGAATCTGGCAGCTGTTTTCATGTCTTTGGATGATTTAAATTTTTAATTACATGTACGTTAGATACGAGTCTATAAAAAAACTTTATACTATATCTTATTAATAATTGAAGAATGTGCCCTTAAATAACAATTTTCTCCCCATAATTAGTGTTTAGAAAGAGCCATGAAGTTTGCATTCGAGGAGTTCCATCTCTGGTATCAATTTGCGTTGTCCTTGATGGCAGCGGGAAAAGTAAGTCTAAATTTTTTTATGTAATTCTTGTATTGATGATGTTTGATAACAACATTTGACACTTCCATAATTTTCATCTGTAGTGTTTTTGAAAATAATTTTAATCCTTAAATCACCTAAGTACACTGTACTCCT